GTTCGTGAAGAAACTCAATCCATCGGGGGGGGGGCAGGGAGAAGGAGAGGGGGGGGGGGGTTGGACGAGATTTTTTATGTTCGGTCCATGAAATGATGATAGCAAGTCATGGTATTCTCTCAGTTATCTAACTTTTACGTACAACAGCAATAGTGCTGGAAGGAAAATTAAGAACTTCCCTGCAGATTTGGAAGAGATGCTAGGCTTACATTTAAAAAGTTATTCGTTACTCAAGAAGTTTAACCATTGCCATGCCATTACTCACCGCATCCAAGTAAATTAGCACAAACATTAAATACTCGCATCAGATGCTGCACACCTCTTTCCCGCACCATGGAAATTCGTCTCACCTACATACGTTCTTTGATCAGGAAGTAGCAATTTTTGCGGAAATAGCGAGAAATTTTGGAAATGGATCGCAGTAACTTCTCGTGATTTGCTAATTCCCACCGCAGTTTACCATGCTCGTCCTTGACAGCACATTAAGAGTGAAAATCAGAGTTTTTCGGCAGGAATTAACTTAGGGAGTGATGAAAATGATTCAGATATATTCATTCATATTATATTTGAAGATAGTTAAAATATTTATGGCTGATATAGGGAGCCAGGTTGCTGCACCTTATCCCGCGGGATTATGAGAATGAAAACAGGTGAAGTACGAGGATAAATGCGGCGTGAAACTTACTCTTTGCACAGGACGAGGTGATTAGTCCCTCTTTTATAGAAATAAGAGCAGTACTTGATGCTCTAGGGTAAACTGCAGCCAGAAAAAGAACCACGTCGGAGTGAGGAAAGGGATTTCTAGTCGTCTGCTCTCGAATCTCGGGTATGAATGGGCCATTCTCGGATAAACTTTGCATACTCGGAGACAGAAAATATGGAATTAAACTCATTCTGGAGTTCCTACGTAAGACACGACATTCGAGGGGGATATTCGCTAACGCGACGATCGTTTTATATCGTGTTTCGCACCTGCGAAGGCGCCGAAGAGCACATCTCCAAATCTATTTTTTTTTTGCTTCAGTTTCGAAGCTCGCCGACCTGGATGACATCCGACGGGTGAAGGACGTACTGAAGGAAAAGGATGTCGTCGTCGGCATCGAATTCTTCAAGAACCTCGCGAAGAAGAGGCTCCCGTCCGTGATGGAGGAGAAGGAGATCAGGGAGGAGCGGCGCCACAAAGAAAAAGATCAATGCCATCATTGCCACGACGCCTATGAGAGGTCTATGAGAAACTCATGGATACCTTCAAGGAGATGACCAGTAAAGATATCATCAAGATCAAAGGAGCCTGAGCAGATGCAATTCTCCCTTTTCCGCTCAAATGTTGGCAATTTGGAAGAAAATGAATTGACAGGACTGATTCCCATGAGCTGCATGAATGCTATATACCACGTATATCCACAAACGACCGACTCTTTTCATTTCGGGACAGGCGAACCTCAAGCAAATGAAAAATCTAGCGTTATTCCGGGGTAAAAACTCGTGGAAGTCAAAATACGACTCGTACTATACCCAATAGACAAACGTGGTAGCCAAATGGCAACCGAATATGTTAAATGGAAAGACCGAGAAAAGATGTAGCGTTGGAGTCACATTTGAAGTCAAATATGTTGGAACAGAATATGCTAATTTAAAATATATACTATATAGGGAGTCCTTCGTCCTGCAGGGGAAAGCGAATGATAGTGCCTCTACAGAGCATATATGTAGCAGACTTTCATTTTTTTTTCGGAGAGCAAGAGAAAAGAGATAAGAATGTGCTTTATCTGAGACAAAAAAGAGGGAGGCTTGGAAATGGGAGATATGTGCTGTAGTGTGCACTCATCAGCCCGCTTCACCTGTTGAATGAGCCGAGTGGATCATACGAACGTCAGTCTGTTGTTTATGCCTTTGAAGTGTGATTGCTGTTCGCATTGGGTATTTACGAAGCTCATGTAAAATCCTGCTTGGTTTGACAGTGTGACATTGAGAAGTTTACTTCTCTTGGTTCTTTGATAATTTTCATTCCATGGCTTCATTTTTAATGACAGAAGCACTGGTCCTTTTATTATTTCATGGAATCATGAGTGACTCACTAAAGAGGAAGATTTAACATATCAAGAAGCCACGGAAGTAAAAATTTTTCACGTGAAGTTTGCAATATCAACCCGTATTCTTCTCAAGTGCAGCGGTATCTTACCTCAATTGTGGACTAAAAAATGAATGCCTATGGCTATTTATGGCGTTGCGCCTGTTTTCTTACCAATCCTCGTAATACTTAGGAGTGAGCAGCCCGACCGATGGATTTTATGCAAATTTGCACAGGTTTGACCCGGCGAAGTACGCCGCCACCTTGCCTTCATGGCCGCTTCCCAAGTGATAGCCAAATTCACGACCGAGTTGGAGTACGTGGACATCGATAGACTCCTCCAGGAACTGTGGAAGGAGGGCGTCATAAAGCCGCAACCGTATTTTCAAGCCAGAAATAAGCCCTTCGAAGAGAAGCTGTCCTTCGTGCAGCTGCAACTCTCCATCGGAGGCGAAGACGTATTTCCAACCTTCTTGGAATGCCTGCGAACTCTAAAGTACGGGCAGCTAGCAAGTGCTATGGAAGCCGGTAAGTTGTAAAATAGGACATACTTCAGAACGTATTTTTTATGCTCCTCTGCGTTCTCGTGAAGACGGTGTAGGAATGACACACCCTCCGCCAATGTGCGTATGTCATTGCTCTTTTGTAGGAAAAACTTTTAGTGCCATTTCACTGGCTCATTGGCATTCATTGAAATTTCATTGCAGAATGGAAGAAGAAGGGAGGCAAGGGACCCACTGAATCGGGAAACACCTTACCTTCAAATGGAGCTCCTCAAGCAAGTGGAATATCCAAGCCGTGAGTTGTATTCATTCGTGCCAAACCACGATTTGAGCTCGAAGGATGCTATATTGTAAAAATATGTATTGTAAAAATATACTCTTCTTCCCTGTTCTTCAGAACAGGGAAAGGGTGTTCCTTACAAAACCAAATAGCAGAGGCAAGTAGGTCCCATTATATGAGATTGATAGCACTAGACTATCCCAGAAGATCGCCTGACCCTGCTCTCCGCATTCGCTAGGTTGCACATTGGTCAGAAATTCATTGGCAAACCGACAGATAAATACATATCATGAAATGGGATCGAGAATCTCGTCTAGATTCCACACTCACGTGGTGACTACTTAAACTACCGCAGCTTCTATTTCACCAGTATGACATAGCTGCGTTTACTGCAAGTTAACCGCAAGAAAAAAAATTCGCGCAACCAAAGTAGCGAAAACCTACTTTCAGCTCAATATGGTCAATCAATGGTCAATCAGGTCAATGGTCGGGTAACGCCGCCACCAGATCTGCCAGTGAAACTTTCCAATTCCGCGAGTTTAATGAACAGAGCAGACTGGATGGCAGGAACTCGCGAGATGGAGAACACGAGAGGACATGAGGAGACTGATGACATTGCGCTTTAGCCGCATTCCCTCCCCTTGAGTCAATAGGAGTGAGTCATTCCTCTTCCATGGCGCGAAAAGGAGGACTCGGCAGTTGCTCCATATCTGTTCTTTATGACCTATAGGATATTTAAGATTCAAGATTCAAGATAGTGATATCAAGAGGCGATTTCGCCCATTTCGATATCACTAGCATCCAGTTTCTTCTTAAAGATAGTCACAGAAGGGGCAGCCACTACTTCGTAATCTAACGCATTAATAATGGAAGAATATACGATCTGCACGAGTAGTTGCAGACAAATCGTATATTCTGGAGTTCGCACATAATACCGTGAGTTGCGAGGGTGGGATGATGGGCAGTAAAGGCCTGCACTACCATTCTTACGCTGTAGTTATCGCGATTGACAATAATGCGGAATCGATAGATGAGATCGTGGAACCTGCAGGTCGAAGAAACTTCTGCGAAGACACTGCAAATCGTGATATTTTCGTTTTTTTCCAGAGATTTGAAGCCTGTCGATCTGGATGACATCCGCCGTGTGAAGGACGTGATGAAGGACAGGAATGTCGTCGTCAAAGTCGATCTCTTCGTCGACGTCCTCGTGAAGAAGAGGCTCCTGTCCGTGGTGGAGGAGAAGGAGATCAGGGAGACGCGAGGCCACAACGCCAAGATCGACGCCATTTTCGACATCCTCCTCGAATTAGATGCCGAGGAGGTCTATGAGAAACTCATCGATACCTTCAAAGAGATGAAGCGTAATGATATCATCAAGAAGATCCAAGGAGCCTGAACAATTCTCCTTTTTTATCTCAAATTTTGGCAAATTGGCCAACAAAGAAAACTGATGGGACTGCTTCGCATTAGCTACATAAATGTTATATTCATCCACAAATGACCGACTCTTTTCATTTCGGGACACGCGAACCTCAAGCAAATGAAAATTCTGTCGATATTTCGGGTTGGAAGGTCGTGGAAGTGGAAACGCGACTCGTACTACAGGGTGGGCCACTTAAAAGTAGCCCGCCTCTGGTCCGAGTGTGGCGGAGGTGGTCGAAGGTGGTGAAAAACAATCCACTTGCTCGTTCTTACTGTCGCAGTATTATAGGAGGCGGGCTACTTTTAAGTGGCCCACCCTGTATATCCGATAGAAAAACGTGGTAACCGAATGGCAACCGAATATGTTAGATGATACGACCGAAAAGATGGAGCGTTGGAGTAATAACTTGGAGTCAAATGGATTGGAACAGAATATGATTTAAAATATTATATGCTGTACATATACTGTATAGGGAGCCCTTCGTCCAGCAAAGGAGAGTGAATGATATGTGCGTCTACATTGCATGTATGTGGTTGCATTTTCATAACTCAAACTCAAGTTCTTGACTTTATCTTGTGAATCGTGTGATTCTATTCCGGAGAGCTAGATGGAATATAGGGTGGTTAAAAAAAAACGCTCGTCCGTTTTCTATGGGAGCAACACAGATTCATAAAAGTAGCAAAAAAATTTTCATTGGATACGCCATCGATATTTGACAGTTACAAGGTGCTGAAATGCTTGCCAAGTTTTTTTTTCAGCACCCCTGCCTAAATCGATTGATCGCCTTAGTCGTGCGATGCCCACTTAGAGATGAATTAAAGGTGCTCAGTGATGGATCATTCCACCTCAAGTGAGGTGGAATGATATAACCTGCGCTCGACCGTCTCAGAATTCATTGAATTTTTCAATAACTTTTCAAGTGACAGTTGGATATAGCAAAACTTGACGGAGAGGTTCATGAGTCGAAGAGGGTTTTTTCACTTCCGCAAGATGGTGCTGTATCCTGATAGAGGGCGCTGCTGCTGATAGGGTGACCGAGGGTGATTTAAGAAAAGGTATAATGTTCCACCTGTAAACTATGTAACTGGATAATACATGGCTCAGGGAATTGTTCAGAAAAAACAAGACAATATGTTCAACACCTCCTGTATGTCCAATATCAAGAGTTTATGAATCTCATTTTTTTTTTACTCGAATACACGAAACGTACTTTCTCCCCTTTGAAAACGATGGAGCTTTTTTTAAATCACCCTCGCTCACCGGGTCATCAACCGATGATTCCAGTTCCCGGCTGCTGTTCAACGATGATCATTCACCGATGCTCATTCGCCCAGAATTGAAGGCCTTACACCACACCCATACTTGTTTTCGAGACATGGCATGTTCTCCATAAACCTCTGCAACTTGCCGACGGATTGCTGCAGGTGTGGTGCCTCTTGCATGAAGAAACCGAAAAGCACTCCGCACTTCAACCTTTGACCACGTTTCTAGGAGGGCCGCCATCATAACTGCCTTTTTACGCATGCGCAGTATTACACAGCGATATATCCGCGCGTGAAATGGAAGCCTCACCGTCACTGTACTACGTCACCAAGGAAGTTCCTCCACATAAACAATGACTTATTCGCAGCAGGCCTTGTTACCTTATTTATTGAATCCCCCTCGTATTACAGACTATTTCGCGCCCGAAATACACCAATTTGATTTCCTGAATATTCCATGTGCGGATTCAAAAATGAATGTCTTTGGCTTTAAGCATTTTGATAGCGCAACTCCTGCGTCCACACTTTTAAAGTTTGGAAATGAACTGTCCAGCTGAAAGGTTTGATGCATATTTCCACAGGTTTGACACGGCGAAGAACGCCACTCCTTTGCCTTTGTGGGAGGTTCCCAAGTGGTAGTCGAATGCGATTATGGAAATTATGGAAATCTCTCTTATGGTTGGTCTCTTTCCTCCATGTCCTATTTGTCGCATGATCTCTGAGTGGTTCATACGCTTGCCCTCATGAATTTCCCATAAGAGGAAATGCTTTGAGAAACTATAAAAAGCGATTGAGTCATGTGAATGAATACGAGGGATTTTCTCAAAATTATTAGAGTGCCCTTCGTAGGAGCATACAGCTGACTTTGAATATTGAAAACATTTAGGAAGACCACTCTCAGTGGTCTAATTCCAAGGATAACGAGACCAATATGCCGTTCCTTTCAGGAGTAGGAAGATTTCACCAGGACCATCTTGTTTATCAAGAAAGGATTCAGGAGCATCTGGCTTTGTCAGAGGAAGGGGACGAGTGATAATTGATTCTTTCAATCTGAAACGTGTGTTTCATTCGAAACAAAAGCTTTTTCATCGAAATTTCATACAAAAGCGTGCCTTCTGAAAGCTACATCATGCATCAGTGTACAGCTTTCGATTAATGCAAATAATTAAAAGTTTTTTGCTGGATGTATTTCAAGAGGTGAACATCACCACAGATCGCAAAATTGCATGTTGGAAAGACACGAAGTGCGAAATGTTTGATGATTCGGATGCATCCTAATCCTCTAACGTCGAAATAAATAATAGCTGTCATTGGTACGTCATAGGCCTATATGAAAGGCCTGGACAACTAGACGTGTTTCAATGGTTCGCGCGTAGGATCCTGTGGAAATGAAAGGACAGTATGAATTGTAGGATGCCAGATGCGGCATTTGACGCATAAGCCTAGCAACCCTGTCTACGCGGCCGCGAGCAGTCGCTGTCTCCCATTGTCTACTATGGATCCGTCATCTGCGAGGTCTGGAGAGGAAGAGGAAATTTTAGAGAAAGACGTGCACCTTAACCCAGGTGGAAAGCCGCACATGCGCAGTGAGTAGTGTTGTCAGATCGCTATGGACAGAATGAAAAAAATAGCGATAGACCGATCGCAATATCTGCCATTTCCCCATGGTACAAATGGGAATAGCTGATAATAAATCAAATTAAATTTCAAGGTTGTCCTTCCTCTTCAATAGACGAGTCCAACTTCGATGAAAACAGCAGTTCACAATGGAGATGAAGTGTATTCTCAATCGAGGCTTGTTCATCTGAGCTTCGTATGCATTATCTCACGGCAAGAGTCTCCGTATCTATTCTGGAACGCCAGATAAGGCGATATCGCTTTAAGGGGAGAAAAGAAGTAACGGCCTGGCAATATCGGTGAAGAGACGCTGTGTAATGTACTGCACATACATCAGCCCACGTCGCCCACGAGCTATGCCAAGAGAAATTCATTAGCATGAAACAGTTGGTGAGTCCCTTATTCTGATTCCTGTGATTGGCTAAGCAATTTCTTAACTATGCAGGATGATCGAAAGTCACTCCCTAACTTGCTTTCTTTATATTTTCACAGATTTAAAATATTTTGGGAGTAAATTAGCTCACATGATACTAGGAAACTTTTTTGAAACACCAAACCTCCAGTTTCTGGGCTTGGAATGGCAAAAGGCTACTCGGTTTTGCAGTGGTGCGAAATGGCTATATGGAAGGACACGTTTTAAAGCAATTGACTCTGACGAATGACTCTCATGCAGCGTGAATTCCAAAGGCATTTCCAACCTCGCGAAGCTCCTGATCCAAAAACCACATGAAACACAAACAATACATTGTTAGAAACTTGGGGACTTGAGAACCCAGGAGCGTCTCGTGAGCATGAGCGTGATAAGCCGAACCTACCTAGGTAAATGTTTGAAGAGCTCTTCCTGGAAATGAATCATTGAGCCTTTTTCCCCCGAACATGATACGAGTAAACAACAAATGTCGATAGTGAAACTTATGAAATGTTCCAGATGTCTGCTATTACTCAATTGAAACCCTTTTCACCTCGATAAGATCTCTTTTAAAACAGGATGGGGATCCGCGTTGTTGCGTGAGCGTGTGATGACTATTCAGCTTCAATTTCCTAGCCGATGGAACATGCGGTATCCCCTGACAGGACTGAATAATTAGTTTCGATAAATTTTCAAGACGAAGAGTGTCTGAAATTGTCAGAATGTTATGCCCTGTGGATTAATCCAGTGCCTACAAGATGCAGGATAAATCGATGTTTTGCAAATTATATGAATGTGATTACTCAACTCATGACCTAGAAACGTTATTATTTAGCAACTTTTGCGTATCTTTCCTAACAGCAGCATGGCGCTGATGAAGTCAAGGATGTTATGGGTTTTGTAGCATACACCTTCTCTTTCCAAAAACCCCATACAAAACTCATATCCATCAGAAAAAAAGAAAGACATATAATGTACAAACTTGGGGCGGGGTTTCTTGGAAACCTTGTTAATGTCTTTCTCAACTGCTTAGCCCCGTTTATTGCGTTTCATGTTTCTTGGTATGGGGTTGCAAATTTCACACGTATCCTACAAACATTGGGTTGTTTTTGAGAAGTGGCCATATTACACTTAATGTCTGGCCATATTTCCCCAACAATAGGGTAATATGGGCTTTTTTGGACCAACTTTGAAAGGATCCAAATGCGCAACATCCAAATGCTTTTTTGAATGTACCTTGCTGGAATTGCGCGAAGGAGATGTCCATCAATATTTTCAAAACATGGGCGAAGCCAAATTCGAAATCAAAAGGCAGTTAGGGTCAGGTTTCAATTTTTTAGGGTCGTATTTCCCCATATTACCGTATAACAGATTTGGAAGGACGCATCAGGACTGTAATGCAATAAATCTCCCTAGAGATGTTGTCCTAAATTGCGGAAGAGCTTATTCGGAGGCATTGAAATTGGTTTTGCACATGAGGAAAGGTTGTGAATGGGGCGAAGTTACTTTTCAATCGAATTGTTAATTTTTAATTGAAGCAAAACTCCCATAAGTGCCTAAATATGATGCATCTTGTTTTCGTGAAAATATTTTGTTCTTGTAGAAAGAATTTGTTGAAACTAGCAGGGACTTTTGAATCACCCTGTATATTGGTGTTAATAATTTCAACTGCCTAAAACGTTTTCAGTGTGTGGTGCTTGTGCTCTCATTCATTATTACATGAAATATGGGTAAAGAACCGCCGTTCAGTAAATTTTTCCCTACATACTTTTACAGGTTTGACGAGGCTCGACACACCATCTTGCCTTCATGGCTGCCTCCAAGGTGATAGCCAAATTCACGACCCAGTTGGAGTACGTCAACATCGATGGACTCCTCCTAGAATTGTGGAAGGAGGGCGTAATAAAGCCGCAACCGTATTTTGAGGCCTTGAAGAAGCCTTTCGAAGAGAAACTGGCCTTCGTGCAGCTGCAACTCTCCATCGGAGGCGAAGACGTATTTCCAAAGTTCTTAAAATGCCTGCGAACTCTGAATCATTGGCAGCTAGCAAGTAATATGGAAGCCGGTAAGTTGTTAAGAGGGCATAACTTCAGAACTTATTTTCATCTCCCTCTGCGTTGTCATGAAGACGTTGCAGGAAAGACACAGACTTTACCAAAATTCGAATGTTACGGTTTCTTTGTGCAAAAATGGTTGAGTGCCATTCCACAGGCTCAATCTCACCCTTTGGGTTTCACTGACAGAATGGAACAGGGAGAGGCAAAATGGAAATGCTCAGCCTGGCAGTGTCTCCTCTTCCAATGAAGCGATTCCTGGTGCAGCTGTTGGTACCTCCCGGCAGTGAGTCCAGAGAAAGTTTGTTGTTTACAGGTATCTCGATACAGTCATGATTGAAACCTACAATATGGTTCAATGAATACCAATGGAATGAGCAATAAAGAAAGCAGTTCTTCGCTTCCATTTGTGTTTAGAGTGGCGAGGGCAGAGTGCCTCTTTCATATAAGACATGAATGTATTAATGAGTGCTCATCGCAACTGCCTCTGATGAGTCATTGCGCTTTCGTTGCATACGCTTTCTGTGAGTCAATTGGTGAGTCATCCCTCCCCTTGGTATCCTCGGATATCCTGAGGCCTTTAAAGTCCACAAAATAGAGGTCCAATTTGGCGTCTCATACCAACCGACTTATCATTGGCGGAGTAAGGGCCCCATTAGTTTAGCCTTCTTATTGCTGTCAACCAAACGAGTCACGGATCGGAGCATGACGCCTACGTGTAATTCTATTAGGATTCCCTATCGAGCTGCAAGGCCTTGGAGGCTAAGCCTGTCTTCACGTAGTAAGACGGAAGAGTGCATATGCTTTGAAAGGCTGGAGTCCAAGCGAGGCTGCTATGCGAAATGTGCAGGGAGTTAACTCGCTAAAGCTCAGTGCGTTCACCGGTACGAGGCAGAATCTATTTTCTGTTGTGAATCAAGTTGGACACTCGAGTGATAACAAACACGTACACACGTACACGAACGCACACTGGAATAAACCATATTGTCAGGGCTTCTTCCGTCAAAGAGGCTTTAAAACATATTTGAGGAGTCAGACCTCAAATTGCATTCCACTGATTATTTGTAAATTGTCATCGGTAGGCAAGATGATACTCGACAATATGCATTTCTTCAAACATGAATTTAAAAAATGAAAGTTTTCATTCCAAAACGGAATTGCTTTTCTTCCTCCATGGAAACCTTATTGGACACTGCGCCGCACCATTGGGCCTAAATTTGCGCTTGCATGGTTTTCATTGTCTCCTTTCCTTCTGTTCCCCCAGTACTTTTGAAGGGAAAATACTAATTTGAAGTTGAACTGTCGGAAGCTAAGTGTGTTGAAAGCGGAGGTTCACAGAAGATAATGGTCGTCATTCAATATTGCCACATGGACCCGGAAATGTCAGGTTGTTAAGACTCTGTGCAATAGGCTTGGGCGAGGAAGCAGCAAAGAATGCATCACGATTGAAAAAAATATTGCTCAAGCATTTGATTTCGCCTGATCATGATGGATTAGATTTGATCTTTGTTCATCTTTAAATGGTAATATCGAAAAAACAAAACTAATTAAAAAGCAGAGCTTTTATGACAAGGAGTTTTGTCACCGGACAAGATGCATTTTAAAAACGAACTCCTTCCTGTCGCAAATTTCCTTAATTTACTGACTTTCAATGAGTTTCAAGAATCGGCCCCACCCACATATCTTGGACTAATCTGATGATTATCCATTTCTTCAATAGGGTTTCAGTGATTAATATTTTTTTTAAATAGAATTTTTGCCCGCAATAAAGAGTCACGGTGATCAAAAAAGGAGTAGTGACCTGGTACCTGAATTAGAATTGTCGAGAAGGGACGAGCGTGCAATGATTTTGTGCTTCTTTCGCCTGGGTAATCCACCATCTCTGTGTCACAGCAGGCGATAATAACCCTTTCGGGGGCAAGCCCCATCCCTCCCAATCGTGCATGTGTAGTATAACCTTTTTTTTCAAACTAGGAATTTCTGCCTAGATGGTGCTTCAAGCGAGGGTGGGCCTGATTTTGCTTCAATTGAGGCAAATGTCTAAAAAGTGCGGAACGTGCTGGATGATGAACGGAAGTTGACTGTTCGCGAGATTCTTAAGACCGTCTGAAGAGACGGTACATAAAATTAACTATGAGTGCCTAGGAGTCCGGAAAATTTGTGCTCAATAAATCCCACATGCACTGTCAGCTACCAAAAAAACAGGCTCATGTCGAATTTTGCCACTAAATGCTGCATGAATTAAGCGAACCTGAGCCGCAAGTGGGAATTTGATGGAGAAAACATTCTGTTGAAACTGCGTCGTGAAGGAGCTGTTGGGAAGGTCATGGTAGCCATTTTTTGCTGTAGAAAATAAAACATAAGGTTGCGCCCATCGATGAAGGCGAAACAGTGAGTGCCAGATGGTATGTCATCAAGTACCATTCAAAACTTGTTGAAGAACTTCACCAAAAGCACCTCAAAAGTGGGTTGCGTCACTGGAAATTGCACCATGACAATGCTCCAGTGCACTTTGCCAAATTGACAGCTTCCTTCACAGCTGAGCAAAACCTTCGCCTGTTCCTCAGAAAGGCAGAAATGCCTGGTTCGAAAACGGCTATACTGCTCATGCAAGACTGGAAGGGATGAGACTTGTCCCCGAAATGCTTATTTTAGCTTGCTGTGGCAGAGGGATGCTGGATCACTCAGGCGAAAGCACAAAATCATTGCACGTTCGTCCCTTCTCGACGATTCTAATTCAGGTACCCGGTCACTCCCCCTTTTTTGAGCCCCTCTAGTCCGCATTACAGGTAAAAATACCAAGAAAATTCATTTTAAACATTGAATCCCTGTTGAAGAAAAGGGCAATCGTAAGATTAGTCCAAGATATGTGGGTGGGGCCGATTCTTGAAACTCATTGAGCGCCCCTCGTGCATCCTTGATTACGCAATACACAATCATTTGCAGTCCGTCGTAGAGCCAGATTTTCTGTACCCCCTAAGATGCCATGACCAGTGCAGCATTAACTTCATGCGGACATTCACAACGTTCCCAAGAACAACTTGTCCTCATGGCAAGAAAGAGAAGTGAGGTAAATTTCCCCAACCTTAATTTTCAAAACGGTGGCCACACCGTCATGCCGAGTCGCGCGTTTTTCATGAAGGAGAATGTCTCCTGATCCCACTGGAGTTTCACCTTTTTCCTCTAAGAAAGTTTTGTGTTCGTTTCACCATAAGAAGGAAACCAGAGAACGGTAGTCATCAATCTATTAATCTCCTGGCCGTGCCAACGCGCATTCATAGGCAAAGTGAGCAAACTGAAACCCTGTGAAGGCGAGCCTGTTTTGATCCAAGATATTCAAATGTCTTTGATCAATTCATTTCACCTTTCACCTGCACATCATGTCCGTATATACAGCAATTAACTCCAATGCCATTCAGCTTTAAGGAACTTCAGGTCTTTAATAATTGGAGACAGTTTTAAGTGAGACATTTGCTTCCTTTATAGATTTAAAAATATATATAGGGAGACCTCCAAAGGGAATATGAAAGACGGTGAAGAGTCGTCCGCACATGTGATAGACAGGAGCATTTCCTTCATTTTGATGTGTTGCTCCATGATTAATTATATGTAATGTTTAATACATCCTAAAGTTAAAATTATGTACGTATTTGACTGATTGGCTGCTGAGGCATCTTTATGGCACAGTACATCAACTTCAAGAGGGAACTTCTGTCCCGTCATGCTGCTTGCTAAATTGCCAAGAGTTTGCTGGATGTGGTTACCACTTTTTTTTTGCCAGCACACTTGTGCAAATTCCCTTTGGCCTTTCAGAGAGGGGATGGAGTACGTTAACACGAGCGATATCCCTAGAGATGATATTCCAGAGAACGGTAGAGGGAAAGATCAGCCTGATGCTTCTGGCTTTGGATCCAACGATGACGACACCTTTCAGCCTCAATACTTGGACATCTCTTTGCGAAGAGCTGAAACCTTTCATGGACCTCCGGTGAGATTTTTGCCTGATAGATAAGTCACGAATGTATTAATCATGATCATTTGGTTGCAACATATGACTCTTCTTGCGACAGCCATGATGTGTGCGATTGTAATTGTGTAGACCCCGTTTTACGGTTCCTATCAGCGCAAGAGTTTTCGGCTTTCTTCAGCACACACAGGACGGAAATATACAGTCCATTTCATTTAAATTGCACATCTTTGAACGCACATATCTCTGGGAGGACGCAACCAATAGTGATGAAAATTGACACAATATGGAACAACTTTTGTCAAAATATTGGACAGAGTCTTGTTTCTAGCAGCGCCCTCTATCAGGTTGGAAAACTGATTCAGCCAAAACCTCTGAAATCAAGATCACATCAAGTTGATAAAATCTTTTAATTCGTTAGATTAAGTCTTGATCCAGTATCCCTGAAAGTTTCATGATTTTATCCCATTTTATCCCAATCGTCCAACCCTAGCCACTTGAAGCATTTTGCAATCTGGGATAATGTTAGTGTGACTTAGCGACTAAGTCAGCGAGATGAAAAAACTCCCCATGGGATGAACGACGGCTGCCTCCATGTTGACTCATCCTGGGCAGCGCTGAAACCGTATGGAAGATCTCAGCATATTCTGCTATCTCATTTGAAGGTTGATCTCAGTAAGGAGATGGGATAGAATCATGAAACTTCCAGGGCTAGTGGATCAAGGGATAATCTAATGAACGATATGCTTTGAAGGATTTTATTAAATTGGTAAGATCTTAATTTCAGAGGTTTAGGTAGAATGAGTTTTTCAACCTGAAAGAGGGCGCTGCGAGAAACATATTTCTGTTCAATATTTTGGCAAAAGTTGTTCTATATTATAATCAAATTTCATCAAGATTTCTTCCGCTCTGTCAGAGATACGAGCGTTCAAAGATGTATTGATACAATTTAAATGATATGCCTTGTGCAAGGTGTCTGGGCAAATTGAGGAAAAATCCAACTGAGTCGGAGGAGTGGAAAAAGCAAAAGAATCTCAATCAGCTCTCTGTGAAGGGGTTGGAGATGAAGAGATCCCCTGGCTTCTCTTGCGTCTAACAGGTAGTAAATATTGAAGTGATCCCAATACTTGGTAACAATGGATACCTACGGCTGCTGCATATCCACTACGGACCAACGGAGATCGGCTGGGCATCCGTATGGATAATGCAATCTGTGCATCTTGTATCCTAGATCTTCCAACATGGTGCTACCCATCACTAAAAGTGACGCGAACTCGGGAAATTGCCCTGAAAGATGTTTCAGATTGAAACTTTCTTTCTACCATCCACTGCGGAATGATTGCCTAGTGTCCTAAAGCTGGGTTTTTTCTTTCAATAATTGTATTAATTACATATTATTCTTCTCCCCTGATTTTATATGGAAAAGTATCTAGTAATGGATAAAAGCAACAGCGGAACCATCCAGTAGCAATGGGGACGTTCGATCACGAACGAAGCTCACAGCATTCAGACGCATTCCCTCATTTGAAATCACTTAGGAAGAAAGCGCAGGCTGTGAAAAAAAATTTAGTCCGATATTTTTCATCAAACCACCCATGCCAACATAAGTTCGATTTGATTATATGCATTCTATGTTAATAAATGTCATGGTATTATATGTGCCACCATAAAAATATTGGGGAAATGATTGGGCCAAGATTTTTCGTATTGCCATTATCTTCTCATTTCTTTCCTTCTTTTACAGACATATACAGGGTGATTTTTTTCATCGATGAGACAATTATTAATATTTACAATCTTCGAACAAATCGAGTGAGGTGCCATAAATTTCGTATCAAGAATACGTAAGCATGGGAAAGTTATATGGTACTTATGGGTTAAGGGGGGCATGGATTTTTTGGCTTAACTTTACAATTGCTCCCGCACCCCTAAGACAAGATGAATGGTAGAGCCATGCATATATATTATTAGTAATATGGATAGACTACCACCTAATTTTTCTAAGCGGCACATGCACGCACCCGCAAGGTTCGTGGACCTCGATGATTCCTTTCCCGGTTCGATGTCAAAGACCAAAGAGAGACAAAGTCAACGTATTTTGAAGGATGATTGGTCAGATGGGTTAGAAAACGGTCGCGACCGAAGGCCGCGACCCTTTCTTTCGGCCCAACATAGAAGGAATGCGGCTCCCGGGGTATGTGTTTATCGCTAGTTCTCTGAGCTTAGAGTGCGCTTGGGTTTAGTGAAAGCCCATGAAAGCTTTTGGAACGTGAATATAAGTCTCTAGCTTCTTAATGTTTATATTTAGTTTAAGATAAGTATAAAATTTCAAGAAATATTGTATCATGCTATTGATTATAAAATGTTAAACTTTTTTTAAATCCATGGCGGGTATATCGGGTATACAGGAAAAATTGAATAACTTCCCATTCTGTGGCCGCCCTCAGGTCTCTGAACGTACATGAAGTTAACCTTGACTGGAACCAGCCAACACAGCGAACGTTGTGTTAAACTTCCTGCACTAGAACTCCGGCTCCAGAATGCCGTTTTACAGATTTCGTGACATCCTCAGCGTTGGAATGGTATGGCCACCATTTCCCCCAATCTCAATCCATGTAGTCAATTCCTACAGGGATACCTAAAGGACAAAGTCTTCGAGTTAAGATTAAGTCCATGCGCATTAGAAGAATTGAAGGCGGCCACAGAGCATGGAGTCTACTACATTTCCCGGGATATTCTGCAGGCAGTTGGGCAGAATTACGCCACACCTCTACGGCCTGTGATTGCGCACAGAGGACACATTGAAAATGTTTTTTACATAGAGTATAACTTTCCCATGTTCATAGATTCTTGATGATAAAATGTCATGCATCTAACACTATTTCTTCCAAGATTATAAATATGTATAACTAGCGAGTTTGTTTGCCCTTCGGGCAAACAAACTCGCTATGGACGCGCCTTCGGCGCTCTGCGATCTAAGGCATCCGTTTTAGATGCTCACCCCTACTAATGCGGTCAAACTTCTTTGTCCATGGGTTCAATTCTCGCACCTTTAAAGTAAATGTGTGAAAAACATATTCTTATTGACGCTATGTCATTTGTAGCATAAGGATCACCGATTAACAATTGTGTGTACTTTAGTGTTCCATTGGTGTATTCAATTACTGTCTCTGGTCCAGGCACTCTTGATAGCATATCAATCTCCAAAAATGTAGGAGTAATAGTAACCATATGAACCACATAAGCCAATTGAGAGTTTTAACGCTAAGAAGACAAATATTGAAGATCAATGCAGGCCTGAGCAATCGTCCAAGGGTTGGATATAAGCTTGCTAAATCATTCCCATCAGGGTAAGTACAGCCAATGTCGAACTGTATCTGTAGTATGCAAGGCAACAGCTATTTATTTTCCATCCCGTTTTCTTTGAGGAGGAGTGTGCATGAGAGCAGAATTGGC